AAATATTTTGGATCTTCCTCTAAACTGTACTTTGTATTGATTTCTGGTGCAAAGAATCTTTTGTTGTACATGCACTCCATTTTCTGGTATATGTACCCCCGGAGGAAGTTAAGAGGACCATCCGGGTTTATTGTCACTGACAATGCATCAGTTTCAATTTTAAACTGCAGAGTGGCCTCCACTTCATCCAATGTCATGTCTGCCCTGCAGATGCTCATAAGTAGAATTCCAATTAAGGTAACTGCCTTGATCCAAATAGCGGAAGAACCTATTTTCATTAAATAAAATAAATCATTTTTAATATATATTAACCGATAAATTTAAGGTGGTTTTATATGATATTTCTATTGGTTTTCGGATTATATACTATTATCAATAGTTTTCACTGGATATAACCCGAACCCGAATATACGTATTTAAACTATTGGCATCTCCAAAAACAAGTGATATTTCGTCTAGAGAAGACTGATTTCTAAAATATAGGGTATTGTGTTTAGCAAAGCATCATTCATATATTCTGTCGATTTCTTTCTATAGGTTACTACTAAGTATTGATTTCTCTTTTTTAGAGAAATAAACCTCTTCATCATATCAGCAATATAAACTGATGCTAGTCATTGTCTTCTAAGTTTTGTCGGTAGGCCAACATGCTACAAAGGGCTCCACTTGTTTACACATCTACCATTGAGTGATTCAACAAATGAAATATATTTTCATTTGCCTTAAGTTATCTAACTTGCGTGGTATCGCTTTGATAGACTTTTCATAGAGGTCTATAAATAGAGGATGAAAAATAAACTATATTCAAATTTGTATGAACGAGTCTAACATTTCTAGGAGGGTAAATCAGCTCTATTAGCTGTAACTTTAGTTACGTTTTTGCACATATATAACACAAATTATGTGTTTGCTGAAATATCACGTGTTTTTGGGCATAGCAACAGGTTAAACATACGTATATACATATTATTGGATAATATCCAGTGAAAACTATTGATCAACGTATATAATCCGAAAACCAATAGAAATAGCATATAAAACTTTCTCAAATTTATCCGTTACTATATATTAAAAAAATAATTTATTCTATTTATAAAATGATTTTTTCGGTTATTTGGATCAAGGCAGTTGCTTTAATCAGTGTTCTACTGATGAACACCCACCGAGCAGACATGACATTAGACGAAGTGGAGACCACTCTGCAGTTTGAAATTGAAACGAATTCTTCTCAAATGGTGATAAATCCAGATGGCCCTCTTAACTTCCTCCGTGGATACATATACCAGAAAATGGAGTGCATGTACAACAAAAGATT